AAATGGATATATAGAATTGACAACAACAACCACGCTGTCGAGTTTAAATAGCGGCAAATCAGCTGCACTTGATAGTAGTTGGTTGAATAAGGAAAGTGAATTAGCAACAAGAATTTACGGGATGTACATAGCTCAGTGGTTAACGCTTCTGACTTTGCAAACCGTGCAATCCGTGCAAATAAATAATTTCTTTTTCAACATAGTAGCAAATTTTTTTCCATAAATTATCACTTGTCAACCTAATTGAAGTACATTATAACCCGTGTAACTAATATATTTTAATTGCTACTAATATATTTTAATTGCTACTAATATATTTTAATTGCTACTCCAAGTTAGATTTTCAAGGTTGCAGTAACTCGCATAAAGCTGAAAATTGGTACGAATTTTACGAACGCCATTATAAATTAAATGTGAAAAGTCGTTATCGATCCCAGATCTTTAAAAAAAAATAGTCAAGGCCTAAAGTCACATGTATTTATTTTTACCATTTTTAGCTACACGGTAAGGTTTATCATATAAATAGTGTAGATCACATGATACAAAAAGAAGGTAGTTTCATTTCACAATTTTTGACAAAAAATAAGTTTTTGAAGCTTCATAAATTGTACAAAATTGTGAGCTACCTTGTCTCAGTTATAGCAATCAAACAATAAATCCAAGGTACATTGAACAGGTAGTATCAGTAGAGCAGCTGATTTGATTTATTTTCAAATTATTTGGTCTCGAAAATGTCAAATATTTTTAATTTTTTCTCACAAAAATTCTGAATTGTTAAAATCCACTTGCATGTGAAACCTTTTTCCATACAAAACAAGCGATTGAATAGCTGCTTTTGGAACGTTCGCCCAACTCGGCAGCACAACCGCTGATTACTGGGCCTTGCAAAGGATGGAGCAATGCTTCGAGAAGCAAATAAATTTACTAGGAAAGAAAGTTGCATCAATTATTATTTTTTCCAATTTCAACTTTTTATTTTTAATAATTTTTTGTATTTCACATGGCACGCTTTGATTTAGAAGAAAAAATTCAGAACAGTTTTTGACACTTTCGATACCAGAAGCAACAACAAAATTACAATTACAATTACAATTACAATTCATTTATTAAGTCAATGGCAAAAAGCCTTACTGACTAGATTTACAGATTCCTTAAACCTAAACTTAAAACTAATAAAATATTAAATCAATGGCGGATTATCTCGGTAGTAAGATTCAATATCTGCCTTGAAATGGGACCTTGACATTGCGAAATCGAGATCAATAATTCTGCAGATGCGATTTAACTCGTTGAGCCCTCTTATAAGTGGGGCAAATTTGAGATAATTCGATCTCAGAATACCAATATAAAAAATATTAGTAGAGCGTAGAGCTCTATTGGGGATATTAAAACATATCTGTCCAAGAAGAGCTCAACAATCAATGGCACCGGAAATTATGTCAAAGATAAACATTAGATTTTGAACAGCTCGCCTAATATCGAGCGGCTGAACATTAATTAACATACACCTGGCAGGATAGGGTGGCAGAGGACTAATAAAATTGAGAGGTTGAACAGCAAATCGTGTGAATTTGCGTTGAACTCTTTCAATTCTAACAGAGTGTGTTTTATACATGGGATTCCATATAACCGAGCCATATTCTAATTTTGATCGCACTAAAGAATTAAACAAAATTTTCCTAGTATAGGGGTCTTTGAAATCATTCGCATAGCGTCGAAGAAAGGCCAAGTTAGAATATGCTTTCGGTATAATATGGTTGACATGGTTAACAAAAGTGAAGGAAGAGTCAAAAATTACTCCCAAATCACGAAATTCCCGAAATACACGCAAATGTTGTTTTTGCTCTACTGATACTACCTGTTTAATGTGCCTTGAATAAATCAGAGAATTTAATATTGTGCGTGGGAAATGTTCGGTTATTTGTACAATGATGTTTTGGTGGAGAGCGGAGGGAGAAGGGGTGTGCCACCTAAATCCATGATTCCATAATTAAAGGTTTGCTCATTATTGACATTAGAGTTTTGACACTCCCTTAGCTCCCTTACAAAAGCTTTGCACACACACACGAACCCACATATAGTGCCTTGCTAAGGGAGCTGATTTTGTCAAGGGGGAGCGAGAAAACTGCTTTTTGAGCAAACCTTTTATTATTGAATCATGACCTAAAACAAAATACTTTAAAAAATCCATCCTTCTCCTCCCTGCCCCTTCTACAAGCACTGGGGGCCATTTCAAAATGGGGTGAAATAAGCATTTTCGCAAAGAAAAATTCAACTCGTGTTAGGCCATCAGCAGTATTTTTGCGCAAAATTCCTTCCCGCGGTGGTGGCATTCGGCTCCGCTATGCCATGCACAGTATTTTTGCGCAAAATCCACCTCTAAATTTACAAAAAAGTGCATATTTCAAACCGAAGTCTTTGTTTTAAATTAAAGCTTAATCCTTTGGCAGGACGTATGTATATGTTGCAATTTTTTTATTCGGGTCACGAGTTTGGACACGATAACCTAAGAGCATTTTACAAATAACGGAACCGTACGCGAACTGTCTTACTTACGCATTTTTCTATGAACAAAAATTTTATAAAATGAAACTGAAGTAGTTTTCATCTTATGTGGATAATTCTTGTCACAAATGCATACATAGTTTCTTGCATATATTTATGTATATATATTATTTAGAAGCGCCACATGTTCATCAGAAAATTCTGGGAACCCAAAAATGGGTACTGTTACAAGTTGCAGGGCACCATTTTAACTTAAAAGTCAAGTGGTCGACAACAACAACGAATGTCAATAAATGAAACTACCTTCTATTTTTGTATCATGGTAGATCATGCAATTATTTCTAAAAACTGCTGTGACACTTTTGTTTCTAAGAATCACCATTTCTAGGATACAACGACTAGATCGACATCCATTTTGTAATAATTCATTTAACCTATAAAATACTTTGAAGTTAATTTTTTAACAGGTGGTAGTATAAAAAATTCAGTCTGTATGGCAGGTGCCACGGGCCCTTTTCTAAGAACCCAAATTTTTTTCATAAGTATAGTATTGCCGTGTGCTGAATAGCTCAGCGATCGCAGTATTTGCAATAATGCGTAATGAAATAAACGAAGAAATTGAAATGAAACCAATTAGTGTGCAGTAAATATATACATACATAAATGGTTTATTAAAAAGTTAATAGATTCGATAGGTATGCCTTTACAGTCGCTCGTCGATGATGTTGAGAAATAAGTGACCGTTTTTTCTTAGCACAGCATTCAACCTCCAAACAGTACAAGTGATTGAAGGGTAAACTTAACGAAAGTCGATTTAGCGGAAAATCTATACCAAAACAGCCGTACATATATATAAATGTGAATGTGTGTGTGTGTTTATATGTACATTCGCAGTTATGGTTTAGAGTGGAGGCCTAAACAGATGTCATATATCTCCATACCCAGTTCCAGTACTCTACCACAAATACTTCCAGAGGTATGCAGTATGAAAAATTCCGTTTGTATAGGAGGTGCTACGCCCATTTGGCTAATTGAGATAAAAGCTAACCTATAATTTGAGTTGGGCTAAATGACGCCAGTGTGCGAAATTTCATTATGATTGGTTGAGTAGTTAAAGCGTGAAAGCGTAGCAAACAAACCATTCGCATTTATATTATTAAGGATTATCAAGTAGTGACCATTAAAATGATTTTTAGAGGTAAGCATTTTTTACACACCCAAACCGCACTTGGTAGTACAGTTGTTTTGTGGCGGCAACAATATGCCAGTACCCAAAATGTCCCCATCTCAAAAGATTTCCCCATATATATGGATGCAATTTTTTTCACTCCCACCTCGAAATTTTGTATGAAAAAAATCACAGAAAATTTGAGTTCTTAATATTAATATAAAGTGCTCGACCAAAGCGTATAAAGATTTCACGTTTAAAATACACTAAACTTGGTTTCTTTCTCTTCAAAACGAATTTTATGGTAATAATTGTGGTCAAGCAAAAGATTTCTTCAGAACTGAATGCTCTACAAAAGTCCATTTCGGCGTAACCCTAACTCACACCAGCGAGGTAGTACGGGTCACTAAACCCAATTTTTTCATGAAATTCTTGGTTTTTTGCCCCTATCTCCTAAATAACGGGAGCTACAGTAAAAATGTAAATGACTAACTTGTAGGAAATTGAGTTTCCTGCAAGTTTGTCGATAACATTTTTTCTGTAGCTCTTGCTATTTTCGATATAAGGGCAAGCTCATTCTAAGGGATCTGTCTCTTAAACTAGAAAGGGACAGATGGGCTAGTCTCACCATTTGCAACAATACGAAGCTTACGTGGCGAAAATGGGATAAAAAGCAGTCGAAGAATCTCTTCATGCTGAGCAGAGGCGACCTAGCCGCAGCTGTGGGTCTGCTAACAGACCATGTTGTCATCAGAAGGCACAAGGTGAGGGTAGAGGTCCCCATAATGACTTCTGCAGAAGCTGTAGAAATGAAGAAGTCAGAAACCTTGCGCCACCTGTTATGCGATTGCCCCGCACTTTGTAGAAGAAGACGAATATTTATAAGTTCAGGATTATTTGAATACCTAACCGACATAGCAGAGGTAGGCATACGGCTACTTCTAATACACACGATGATTTGAGAAAGAGGTTTCTAACGATCCACGGGGTATCACAAGGGGCACACAACCTAAGGGCCAAGTGTGCTAGTGGACCACTGGCAGCCACTTGAACCTAACCTAACCTTACCTATTTATCAATTACTAAACTTTATTGCTTGGTATCATATGTAAAAAATAACGTTTTGCGACAGAAAATTCTATTCGCCCTTTTTAGGCGTAAAATCCCGAAAAAAGGCGAAATCCCGCAAACGGGCAACACTGTATGCACCTGTAATAAATTTTATTTTGTTTTTATGAGAATTTGTTTTTTATATCTGACTAACAATGAATGTTACCACTGCATCTGAGTGCGTAAAATTTTCTAATAATATCACTTCTTAATTTACCTCAAAAACCTCATCCCTCGGAAACTATTAGCATCCAAACGTGTGATGTTATTGTGTGATAAGTTGAGCAATTTCAATACGGAATTACGAGCGAAAGTTCCTCTGCAAATAGTAAATGATAATATACGTTTTATTATTAATATCGCAATTACCCAAAATGGAGGTGCATGTCTCCGTATAAGATAAAACCAAAAGTAAATGAAAGTTTACATCTCCATAAAAGAATCGCAAAAGAATTTTTAGCCTAGATCTGTTTTTTTTTTTATACATATTTAAAGTTGGCGATTTTTATGATACCTTGTGTACAGAAAAATTTTGTAAAATTGGGACAAATAATGATGTATTGTAAAACGATTTTCCGTCATCCATTGTCAAATTTGGTTTGAAGAGAAACCGCTTTTGGCATTGTGCCATCTTCAGTGTCATTTGAGAATGAAAACTGACACTGAAGATGGCAAAACGCCGAAACCGGTTTGTCACCAAATCTAATTTGACAAGGGATGGCGGAAAATTAGGAATGTACGATTAATCGGTTAATCAATTTTTTAATTAATCATAATCCTGATTAATCAAATAATTTGATTAATCAGATCCTGAGTAATTACTGTTTACTCAAACGAAATTATTTGAAATTTGAATAAATTTCTTCATTTCTTTCAAGTTTGCTTTCAAACCAAATAAATTTTTTTTTATATGTATGTTTTTATGTACAAATATGAATGTTCGTATGCACATTCAATATTCGTCTTATTAATAAAAATGAAATGCCAAACAAGTACGTACTGTGCAGTACATACATGTATGTAATACTCCTATATTGGCAGTAAGAGCTGGTACCGTCCGAAAACACTACAGTATAGATATATCAATAAACACGTACGAAAGAAAAGGAACACATACGTTTATAAATAAACATGTACACAGCACATATACAAAAACGGCACTCGCCCACTGGGAAAATAGGAAAGCACCTTTCGAGGTAAGCCATGTTTTCTTTCAGTTTTTAGTACCAAAATTGTCATCATGGCCAATGTCATCTACTAGTAAACCGCAAAATGAACACCTCCGACGACACATTACGTTGTCAGTTGCAAAATAACATGCAGCCGAAGCTATTTCCAAGCGCCGAACTACTCCGAGCGACTGCTCTGCATTATGCGTAACTTACTTTGTAAAGCGGCTCAGAGGTATGTCTGATACCAAATGTACATTCTTAATTCCTACTTACATAAGGCGGCGACGTCTTTGTTAAAGTAATGGAGATTCGGCAGGGAAGTGGTAAGGACCGCCAGGTGAAGGGCAATACCTTACCAGCAACTTACACTTCACCCGGCCGTCCTTACCACGTCACTGACGAATCTCCCTTACTTTAACAAAGACATGGCCGCCTTATGTAAGTAGGCAAGTACAAAATACATTGACAAAAACGGAACTAGACTGTCTCGCTTTGATTTCGGAATGCTTACACATTGAGAAGTTAGCTTACTGCCAATATAGAAGTATTAGGTCGGTGTTATGCAGAAATTTTGTTTGGCAAACTGCGTGCCATTGTTGTTGCAGCAAACTCGGAGAGAGCGAGTTTGGCGACTCTCACAGCAAACTAATTTTGTTTGGTCAAACTGCAGCAAATTCGGTGTTGTCATATACAAAAATTTTAAATTTTGAGCGTTATGTACATCTGAAATTCTCATTTCGTGTTGGCAATAGCCATGAAAACCATAATGAACGTGCAACCCTGTGCCAAACTCGACATAACCACCTCCGAGCAAACTAAGCAGCCGCCATTTAATTTGGCAAACAAAAGTTTGTCTGCATAACACCGACCTAACATATATGGTATACATATATACATACGTTTGTATAAATTTTTTCTATTTTTGTATACATACATATGTATGTATGTATGTAAAACAAAATATAATAGCAATTACACAGATTTCTGGTTAGTCAGGCTATGATTAATCAGTTTGCTGATTAATCAAATTAATTAGATTCTGATAAATCAATATGTATCTAATTTATCGGAAATTATTCATTTTGATTCATCAAAAGTAATTATTATTTGATTAATTAATTAACCTGCTTTCGATTAATCAGCTTGTTTGATTAATTGATTAATCGCACATCCCTACGGAAAATCATTCTACAATGTATCATACTCCTACCCTGTTGGAAATACCAACATCGAAATTGAGAGGATCAAATAATATTTTTCTCTGGAATTCTTCTGGAAAGGTATGATACGATTACACAAGGGAACAAAAATGGGGAAAAATTGTGTTGCGGCAAATTTTAAAGCTGATTTTGATTGACTTTTCTGTGCTGATTACGAATCCGTGAGTATAAAGTTTCCATCAGCTCAAGATTTTGACAAAACGAAGTTCAAAGCAGCGTTGCCAGGTTGACGTTTTTAACGTCATTTGGACGTTTTTTGTATCCTGTTGACGTTTGGACGTTTTTTGTGTAAAAATTTACGTTTTTTAACTTCCCAGTAATTTTTCTCTGTTACTTAATCTTGTACGTAGAACTGGTTTTGAATTACTTTCTTAATAAATATTTAAAAGCTTTGTGTTTTGCAGCAGCTGCTTCAAAAGATATTTATTCTTTGGACAGAGATGACTTAAATATGATACAAACCATGTATACGCGCATTTTTTTGGATTCTTGGACAAAGGCTGGTTGTGTAAACACTTGAGGTACGAGACTTATTGTAATGTTTACAATTGCTCATTAAAAGCCAAATCAGGAAAAGCTGATCTATTGCAACACGCACGCTCGCAAAAGCATCAAAAAGCTGTAACAGCATAAATAGTCAGAAAAAAGTAGGCGACTTTTTTAAGACTTCATTGAAAGTGTAATGAATGCAAAAAGGTTGAAATATTGCTATGCTCCTTCTTAGCAGAAGTAATTTAGCATTTTCGACAACCGACCCCCTAACCAAATGTCTACAAGAAAAAAAAATTATTAAAAATCAACGCGATTATGTAGCTCCTTTAAACTTGAAATTTAGTGGGCTATCAAACTGCATACTTAAAAAAATTCTAAAAAATCTGAATAAAAAGTTGAAAATATAGCTGAAATTTGCAGATTTTTTATAATTTTTGCACAAGTGAAATGAAATGTGGATTTATATTTTGTTTGTTATAAAATGAGCTTGGCTTTTATGGAAAAATAATAAACATTAAATAAACAATCGAAAAACAGCCAAAATCGATCAAAATGTTGATGACTTAATCAGCTGATCACAAGTGTATGTATAAAATAATTTTTATATTAACGATCTCAAACCAGTTTACAATGCATTCTAAATGTGCTCTGTCGAAATGACATTTTAATATACCTTACGTACATATGTACCTTTGTATAAAATGAAAGTTTAATAAGAACAGTTTTTGTACATTCATTTCAAAAAGACGTTTTTGGGTAGGAAATGACGTTTTTTCGGACCAAGAGGGACGTTTTCTCATGCAGAAGACCTGGCAACACAGGTTCAAAGTGCCAAAGAAACAAAAGGCAATATAAGGCTTATAATAAAGCTAAATGTCTCTACTACTATCCCTGAAAACACCATCCCTGCGCTCTTGACTTGATGGTCACTTATAGTCATTTATTGACCAGCAAAACCTGATTTTGTGTGAAGGTTGAGTACCCACCGCAATTAAACAAAAGGTGATATAGCCTTCCACTTAGAGCCGGTTGTTCAATGTCTGATTAACACTAATCGGAGGTAGAAGCTCTGGTTAAGTACAACGACTGTTTTATCGATCACATGCTTTAGGCATGATGTCGAAAACGTCGATAATGATGTTTAACCGGCAAGTAGTGATAACCACACATTGAACAACCGGCCCTTACAGGCGTATTCTGCTTGTTACCGAACATTTTGACACAGGAAAATTTTGTAAAGGAATAATAACAACACTTCTTGTAACCGCAATTCTAAGTACCTTGGTAACCTAGCTATGAAGCTTTGTATAAATTCTGGTGTTGCATACTTCACAGGGCAATGTTTTGTTACCTGCTTATAAGATGGTAACCAAATTTACCAGTGCGCAGAACGCGAACAGGGTTTACCAGGAACTTTATTTACAGGTAACAAAATTTTTGTTACCAACGCAGAATAGGCCTGTAAGCTGAAATTAGGGCTTGAACTTTCGACTATAATCTCTTAAAATGCCATCCCTGAACCAAAACCCTAAGGTCACTCATAGTTATTTATTTAACAGCATATAATGATTTTGGCACAACTTACTTTTTCTTTCAATTGCATAGTATTCCAGTATTTTTATATTGTTCAATAAATGACTATTAGTGACCATCAAGTCAAGGTGCAGAGGTGGTATTTTCAAGGATAGTAACCGAGAGTTATAACTTTATTTTAAGCCTAAGTGGAAGCTTCTATCACCTTTTGTTTTTTTGCTAGACCTTCTAAAATATTGCAAAACGCGATTTTTTGACACTTTGACCTTATTTTTCTCAAAATCTGGAGCTGATGCAAACTTTAGGCATGCGAATTCGTAGTCAGCACAAAAAAGTTTATCAAAAACAGCTTTAACATTTGCCTTAACTTAACTTAAAATCACTGTTGCCTTGTGTTAACTTACTGTTCTAGCGGTCGAGGAATTCATTTTTGAATTTTTGCCTAAAACTTGCGCTAGGTGGCGCTAGGTGTAGAACAATTTTTATTACTCTTTGTTGTGGGTTTTTATAGAAAGAATAGTATTTTGACTGTTTTAACGGTTGAGAAATCATTTTATTATTTTTGTTGGAAAAAAAAGCATTGTCAGGAAAAAGTGTTTATGTAAAATGTTTTATATGTTTTTATGTTCTTCATACATATGTATAGCATTGTCAGGAAAAAAATTTTTGTGTAAAATGTTTTATATGTTTTTATGTTCTTCATACAAAATTTCCGTATAAAAGCGTTTTTTTTTTGTCATAAAAAGCACGAAATACATACGTATGCTCACAAGTAATTGTTAAGCAAAAAACAAAACCGAATTCAATTCCCATAAAAATTTAAGATTTTCGTTAATTTCTTCAAGATCCAATGATCATATATAAACCAAATTAGTATGAAACTGCCTCTGGAGTAACACATTTCCTTAAAAAAAAAAAAAGAATTGTAGAAATCGGTTGACGTGGTCCAAAGTTATGCGGTAACATACATAAAAAAAATATATTCCGACGAATTGGTAACCTCCTCCTTTTTTTGAAGTCGGTTAAAAACCATATCTATAGGCAAAAACTCTTTTTGGCATAACGCGTTTACTGTTGGTTTTATCAAATACATAGCATCTTGTTGCACTGTGTTATATGTAGAGCAAATGTATAATTATTTACCTGGAAATTTCTGTAAGTGCATTATGAGACGCATTACACCATCCCAGCTTGGTCATGTCTGCTATATGTTGTGCTTCAAGTTTTTTAAGGTTATTAAAACTTATATCTAAAACTTCCACAGATCTCAAATTTTTGAACTGATTTCTTTTTAGAGTTTCCAATTGATTGCCATGTAAATCAAGTACTTTAAGTTTACGTAGAGGCTGGAGATTAAAACATTAATTACTATGCCATTGTACTCACATATTCATACATACGAATGCAGTTAATGTAGAAAGTCATAGGGCGAACTAGGGTTACTTAATTACTAACGATAATTAGTGTTTAAAATCTCTATTTCGTCTGTCTAGGCCACCACGATCATACTTATTTCTAAATATGTTTATATGTAGCAGTGATGGGCATACCTAATTAAGTACTTTTGTATTTAAAGTAACAGTGTGGGTACTAAATACTCAAATACTTAAAATTTGGAGATGTTTAAATATTCAAGTAAACAAAACTAAGGCATTTAGAAGTTCGCCAAATGCTCAAGTAGAAAAACTTGAGTGTTTAAGAGATACTAAAGTACAAAAAATGAAAGTATTTAGCAGGCGCTAAATACTTTGGTCCAAAGTAGTCAGGTACTTTGAAGATGAAAAATACCTTCACTTAAGTACTAAGATGTTTAGTCGATGTCTAAATACTTACAAACCAAATACCTTATGATTTAAGACAGATTTGAACAATTGACACCCTACCTTACACTCACCACACCTAAAATCAACTCACAGCACACAACTAACTCACTTAAAATCACCACAGCTGATGCTACCACACCTAAATTCACCACAACTGAGCTAATTACACTCGTTCTTACAACACCTCGGGACTAAATCAGGATTTTCAGGACTATTTCGGAATTCTCGGGACTTTTACGAAAGTACTTCGGGATTCCCGGGATTTATGATCTCGGAACGATTTGCAATTTTCGATGTATTTATAGATCTTGATATCGATATATTTATCGATTTTGAAATATTTATACTTTTCGATGTTGTATTTGTATTTATTTGCATTTATTTACATGTTTAATCTTAGCACAGCAATTTAAACATTATCTTATAGTGCTAGCCACTTTCTCATATACAATTAAATCTTAGAACTAATGAACAAATTGTTTTGTAATCGCTATTGTTACCGATATTATTATCGATATTGTTATCTATATATTTTTATCGATATTTTTATTTATATATTTACCGATATAATCGATTTTTTATTGCTAAATTTTGAGATATATTTATGGTGGTTTTCGTTTCTACCCAAAAATTTCGCATTTTGATTGCCCCTTTTATTTCTCGTGTTCGATTATAAAATAAGGGCAAACAGTGTAAAAATTTTGTGTTTGTTTCTTAAAATTTCACACTCTTGTAAGGCAAAAAAGGCACATTCTACGCCCTTTGAGGCTTTGTCAGGGGAGATGGTTGCCTTGAAAATCAGATGGCTGCTTAAAACGATAATATTATGAAATGCGTGAGCTGGACAAAGACGAATGGCAAAAACATGCCGTTTTACAGGGTCGAGTGGAACATCAGACACATTTTGCACCGTGAAAGGGCCACTTTTTTTGGTAGAAACGAAAAAACCCAAATAGTCTCAAAAATCGTGAAATAGTTCCGATTATCCCGAAATTGTCCTGAAAACTTAGAAATAGTCTCAGAAATAGTTCCGAACATCCAAAAAATGCCGAAATAGTTTTGAAAATCCCGAAATAGTTCCGAGAATCCAGAAATACATACTCCCGAGAATCCCGTAAAAATCTCAAAGTGGTCTGGAAAACTCCGAAATGGTTTCTAGAATACCGATAATACTGAAATAGTTCCAAAAACGCCGAAGTAGCCGAAAATACCGAAATAGTCTCTAACAAATGTATCGATTATCGAAAGTCCTAAACATTCCGAAGCAGTCTCGAAAGTCCCAGAAAGGTCTCAAAAATCTCGAATCTCTATTTTTACACTGAGTAAATAACAGCTATTTAGTATTTAATCAAGTCGTAAGCAGGGCTGAAAATCCCTCCAAAAAACGGTACGGTTCGGTTCAGTAGTTCGAACCACTTAGAAAAAGCTTGTAGCGGTTCAAGAACCGATCCATGAGTATTCCTGAACCGCGGTTCGGTTCGGTTCAAATGGTTCAACCTTTTTAATGCCAAAGGATACAAATATTACAAAACTATGATAAATATACGTATGTATATAAAAATAAAAGGCTTTGTTATTGGGATCAAATTCAAATATCCACTTATATAGTGGTGGAAAAAAATAGGGACGCGACATTTTTAAAATAGCTGCAAATTTTTTTTTGACGTAGAATACGTCTTACCTTACGATATGGAGGCTATGCTGAAATGTTGTAGTTGTAATTTTTAGAGCTTCACGAAAATGCTTATTGCACGAGTACTAATGAAGCGATTTCAAAGCAAAGTATGGCATTTCACATATAAAATTCAAAGCCTATCGACAGATACATTTATTTAAGTAACCGATTCGGTGTCAGTCCTAGAAACAACGGTAAATATTGCCCTATTTTTGGGGTAAATTTTGCGCCTTTAAAGTGCTCCAGCAGCTTATGATTTGCAGATATAACTTTCATTTTCGGGATATAGACTCTTTGAAGCAATAGAAATATTATCGTGTACAGATTTTATATAAATTCAACGAATATTGAGCATTTTAAGGCAACATTTTTTTGAAAATTTTGCAAATTTTTTTTATTACCAAAATGCTCGAAAACCGCTCGAATGATTTGGTTTTTATTTTCTTTAATCAAAAACTCAAGAGTTTTCTTTGGTTTGGTATATGGGAAGTATTGGTTGATATCTTCTAAGTATGTTTATTTGATTCAAATATATGGGCATAAGTGATTTCCCATACAAAATCACTTCGTCATCGTTTTACAAACACGTGCATGCGTTGGAAGTGAGGGAAGGAGACAAAAAGTATGTATGTGTGCGTTATTACATATTACGGCTTTTAATAAACAGAAGGCGCAATATTTACAACCTAATCGCAGCGTATGTACATATGTAAATACATATATTCGTACATATGTTGATTGCAGTTAATATCGATTTTTTAGTAATCTATGTATATCTATACATATTATACATATATGTACATTAGGGTGGTCCTTAAATGTATTAAGTACATTATTACATCAGATTTCCAAAACGTCAACCCCCACATCGATGCTAATATAGTCAAAGATATCACATAAAAATTTTGGTCCCGATCGGAGACGGTTTAGGCGTGTCGCAGAGGGGTCAAAGTTCAGATTCCTCCATGGAGACTCAAAAAATTTAAATTAATATTTTTTTCATGTAATACCCAAAAGCGATACTACTAACGTCGAAGATGTCACATATAAATTTTGGTCCCGACTTGAGTAGGGTAAGATGAAAAAAAAATGTATTTAAATTTTTTGAGTCTCCATAGGGAAATTTGAACTTTGACCCCTGTGCAACACGCCTTAACCGACTCCGATCAGGACCAACTTTTTTACGTGATATCTGCGCCTACAGTAGTATCGATTTTGGGTATTAGATGAACAAAAATTAATTTAAATTTTTTGAGTCTCCATAGAGGAATCTGAACTTTGACCCCTGTGCGACACGCCTTAACCGTCTCCAATCGGGACTAAAATTTATATGTGATATCTTTGACCGTTGTATTAGCGACTGAGGGGGTGAGACTTAAAATTTCATTTTTAATGGCCACCCTAATGTACATACATATATGTATGAACACATGTATGCATAATACGCGAAAACATTTTGAAGTGAAACAACAACGGTTTTGTTATTGATATTTTTATTAATTCTGTTAACGATTTTGCTATCGATACTATTATCGCTTTTGTTATCGATATTTTTATCGAGTTTATTATCGATATTGTTACTGATTTTGCTATCGATATTTTCGCAACTTATCGATATAATGATCGATATTTTTATAGATTTTTGTCGATATTTTTTATCGATTTCGTTTTCGGTTGTTTTATCGATTTTGTTATCAATTTTTCATCGATTTTGTTCTCGATTTGGCTATCGATATTATTATCGATTTTGCTATCGATTTGGTTATCGATATATTTATCGATTTGCTATCGATATTGTTATCGCTTTTGTTATCGATACTTTTTTCTTAGTGTGTGCTTTCGTTTTTGACTTGGATATGATCTTAACCATACAACGTATTCTACGTTTAAATTTAGCGGCTGTATCTCCGATACAGCAGACCAAGACGAAGGCGCTGGACTGTTCCTTTTTATTTAATGTTTTATGTTTTAAGTATAGTTCATCTTCTAATAAAATTCAAGTTTAAAAGTTTGTGCAAAAATTATGAAAAGTTTCATCTAACTTTTACATACAGTCTTAAAATCTGCACAGGTTTTTATTTTATTTTTTTTTTGCTGACGGTTATATGCATTTTCTTGCATATATAAACGTTTCAAGCATTTTTTAAATTTGTGAAATTATAACTCACACAGGTGCCATTAAACTCGAAAATGGTTGCAGTTTTACCAGAGGGTTGCATTTTTACACACATTTGTGTATAACAAAACTTGAAAAATACTTTAGTGAGTTCGGTTTCAGCATTTCACAATAAAAATGGTTCGACTCATGGTTCGGCTCAAAGCACGAAAAAAGCGACGGTTCGGTTCAAAACCGGTTCGCAGCCCTGGTCACATATACTAAATGGTTTTGTATTCAGTATTTAGTAAAGACAAAGTCTCTAAATAGTTTTGTTCGCGCTATTTTGTGAAGCCAAACCCTCGAAATACTTTGGTACTTGGTTGTTAGTGAAACCAAAGTCTCAAAGTACTTCTGTATGTGGTGTTGCGTTAAATGAAATATGGCCGTAGCCAGGTATATATTCAAAAATAGTACTAGGAAATGCTAGCTTTTGGCTACTTTGGTAGCCTCAATTCAAAAGCCGATTAATAAGCTTAACAAAACCAAACCTTTATTCTCAACGTTAAATTCAATTCAATCGTGTTATATTATATTCTTTTGTACAAGCCTGTGTGGCGCGGGAAAAACACGAAAAGACAGCTGATTCAGCTTGCCACACAGGGATGTCTTTTCTTGCCAAACAGGGATGTATTTTCAAACCCTACAACTAGGGGGCGGCTCAGTTCGCCACATCTACCCCCTCTCCAGTGA